AGTCCCTGGGACATGAGGAAGCACTGACTGAAGAGGGTCTCTTATTTCTGCCTCTGCAACCCTCAGTCCTTGCAGCTTGTCTTCCAGCTGGGCTGGACCAACTCCTGATTTTTTTATATGTCTCTGCTTTATTCATGATTTCTCTTTGCAGAAAAAGATTTCAAGATGGAACACATTACCAAATAATTTTAGTAGCTATACTTTTAGATACAGAACTGTATACATATAAATTGTACATGAAGAACACTGAACTTTCACAAAGTAAAGGCAACTATGTACTGGTGTTTTGATTAAGAAATGGATTCCCTCCAGAAGCTTCTCTCATTCCCTTTCAGCCACTGCCCCTTTCCCCCTCCCAAAAGATGAACTTTGGATTCCCCAGACAATGGATTAGTTTTACTGTTTGGGACCTGTGCAAGAAATGAATCTAACAGCATGCATTCTTTTGTATCTGGCTTCTTTGACTCAATAGTATGTTCAAGAGATTCTTCCCTACTCTTGCATGAAAGGGTAGTTATTCTTTCTCATTTCTGTACTGTAGTCCATCAGGTGACTGTATGACTAGTAATCTATTTTCTCACTGATTGGCATTTTCAATTTGGGACTGTTTAGAATAAAGTTCCTATGAACATTCATATCTTTTGGTGAGTGGCAATTGCTGGGTCATAAAACAAGGGCATATTGAGTTTTTAAAAGAGATTGCGAAAAGGATTTTCCAATGCAGTTGCTCTAATTTAATTCTCCCACAAGCAATGCATGTAAGTACCCACTGCTCCCCACTGTCACTCCTTGAAGTTGTCAGTCTTTTTCATTTGATACAGACGGATGGCTGGGTTATGATGTTGAGCTGTGTCTTTCATCATTTACTTTTCTGTGGACTAGAAAAGTTAAACATAGTTTCAAATGCTTATGTGCTACTTTGATATTCTCGCTTTTGAAGATCCTGTGCATGTCTTTTACCCATTTTATTTTCTTACTGGGTTATTTACCTTTTTCTTATAGGTTTTAATTCTTTATTTTTGCACGAGGATTATTTTTCAGATACATTATATCCCAAAAACTTCCATTCTGTAGCTTGTATTTTTGTTCCATGAATAACAGCTTTTGATAAACAGAAACTATTAACTTTAATTTAGACCACTTTAGCCATCATTTTTTAAAGTTAGTGCTTTTTTGGTGTCCTACCAAATACATATCAGATTACTGAAAAGTCATGAGATATTTTTCTGGCTTATAGTTAAGAAGTTTTTTTTTTTTTTTTCTTTTACCTTCTAGCAAGAGAATATGATTTTTCCTCTGATATAATTTTTCATGATTCCTCTACCTAGACAGATGGAATGAATTTTCTGAGTACTATTATACTCCGTAATAGTACAAATTACTTTTATTATTTCTATTATATGACATATTACCTAGACATATGTATTTACATGCCATCCTTTCTATCTCATCCCCAATCCTCCATTTATCCAATTATCTAATCTTCATGGTCATTCCATTAAAACTTGGTCATAAAGCCTCCTAAGTTACTTTAAAATTGGTCTGTATCTTTCCATTCAACTCTTGTCTCCATTGTCTAAATTTCTAACATCTCATCTTGAAGACTGTAATCACCTCAACTGGTCACCAAACTCTAATCTCTAATTAATGTACCACACAACAGCCAGAGTGATATTTTAGAACATCAATCTTTTCATGCTACTTCCTTTAAAAAACCTCTACATGGTTTCCATTACTCTCAAATTAATGTTCAACTCATTAATGCACTGCAGAGGTCTTTCAGGGTTTGAAACATTGTTTGTCTTTCTCATCATTGATGTCTTTGCTTTAATCTCTCGAGACTTTCTATTTCCTCAAATACCTCTTTATAAAGACTCTACTGTCTGCCTCCATATCCAAGCCCCATCCCCTCCTCTTCATCCTTCAGGTCTTGTTCTAGATTATTTTTAGCCAGAAATTTTCCCTGATACCATATTATTTTTAGCCAGAAATTTTCCCTGATACCATAGTAAGTTAAGTTCCTATGCTATCTGGCACCACAGAATCCCAGTGATTTTTCTCTACTCAGATTCATCACATTTACTATTTTAAGTCCATCATCTTTGAATGTAAAATTTCTTGGGGGCAGAAACTATGTCTGTCTTCTACACCATTGTATCTTTGGGCCTAGCTCAATGTCAACATGGATTCTTAAAAAGATTTCTTTTGATTTGAACTGATTTGTGCTCATATGTTCAAGCATTGGATTTGATACATGGTCAGTTTAAATAAAGATTTGATGATTTGTGGTCTTCATAAGTTCTAGAATCAGAATTGAGGACTTGAAGACCATTGGCTTCAATCACTCAACAAAATGATCATTAAACAATTTCTGTAACACTCTCACTAAATGTCACCTACTTACAAGTCTGAAAATATAGAATCACTACACTATTCAGTTGATCATTCTAAGCTTAGGCATGAATGTGCATAGAGAGATCTGTTTTATATTGAGTTAAAAGCTGAGATCCAGGCCTCCCCTATGGTGCAGTGGTTGAGTGCTGGGCTGCAAAGCTGCCTGCAGCCTCTGCAGTGCCATTTCGATCCCTGGCCACCAGCAAGAGTCCTACATGGTGCAGCAGACCTCTCCTGCCGCACCCGCTGCTCCCCTTACCAGTGTATTTTGTCAGTCTGCCTGTTCTGTTCCCTGCTCTGGCTCTGGTGAATTCTCTCAACCTCCCATACTTCTGACTGTACCCAGTGCTTGTATAAATAAACAAACAAACAAATAAATAAATAAATAAATCTATCTTTTAAAAAAAGAATAAAAGCTGAGATCATTGTAATCTTCCCCCTTCATGGGTCAGGTTGGACTCATTTTATTAATTTAATGAAATTGACTATGTTTTCTGCAACATAGCTTATTAGCTGTCTGCTGACAGATTTTGCTCCAAGTCATTCTTCAGCTATTTATCATAAGACACAAATCTACAGCAGAACAGAGCTATCACCACCTTTTTTTGTAAATAACATACTTCTAGCAATATAATCTATAGCAGATCTGAATTTTGGAGGACTGAGTCTTATTCTATAGTTGCTTTGCTTTCTGAGAAAAGGAATTAAAAATTAAACATGAAAGTGAATATTTAGAATGAGAAAAATTGAGGACATAGAAGGTTAGGGAACTCTGAACCTTAAGTTTTATTAGCTTCATGGTAAATCAGATCCTAAATATCTTTAAAACTTAAATAGCTTCCTAGTACAATTCTATTAATACCTTCTAATTTTACCCCAATTGTAAGTCCACCTCTGACTTGCATTGGAGTGTGATAAAATTCAGACTGGGGCCAGACCTCCTGGTCCAACCCTACTCTCACATCTCAATATAACTGTAAGTATCACAAAAACTGTTCAGTTAAAAATCCTGACACACCCAAGACAGACCTGTCTTTCTTATTGACTTTTTATCTACATTTACCAAACCCACCTGTATAAGGAGGAGATAAGGTTATTCTTCATGTATTTGAGGTTGAGTTGTGTTTTGTTTTAGCACTAAACCACTTTCTTAGCCTGAATTTCCCAGAGGGGTTTGCATTCATTGCTCCCAAGTGACACTACTGAGCCCTTCCTGAACCATTTTCCAGCCATCTTCTCTTACAGGACCATAAATCAAAGAGTTGCCAAGAAACCAGAATATACAAGTCATATTAGGTTCTGCTTAGCTCTACCTGCCAATCCAATGCAACTTTTCACCCACTGACATTCAGAATCACCTTTATCATATACCTTTCTGGAAGGTTACATTTTTAGTCTACTCAAAGTTAAAACATCATTTTTTCTGTCTATAAAGTTAAATACATGATCATTTTAGAAATGTTAGAAAAGGAATTGGAAGCCTAAAATAAATCATCTATAACCTAAGTATCCAGAGGTAACATCTTTTAACATATCGGTCTATTTCCTTGCAATATCATTTTTCCGTATCCTTTTACATTGTTAAGATCATGCTCTATATCCAACCAGAAACCATCCATTTCTTGATTAAAATTATATTAAATATGCCCACATAGTGTTAGAAATTCTTTTAAAAAACATCTTAGTGCCTGCCTAATATTATGTGGTATGGATGCTATATAATTCACTTAGTCTCCTCATGTGCAAAATTGAGGTTTTTATTTTTTTCCGCTATAAATTATGCTTTTTAGACAGCACTATCTGTTCTAAAAGTCTTGTCATTTCCCCCCACAATCTCTTTTCTTTTTGATGATGAATTAATAAGGGTGAAATTATTGTTTTAAAGGGCATATTTTTCTTTATGATCAAAAGTATTATGGAGCACATAATATAGATCTGATATACAGCAGACATTAAGCAAATACAAATATTTATATATATCAGCAAATTAATTCATGTAATTGTTGCATTCTCGCAGCCAGTGTCAAAGAGTCTCTGTCTCTCCACACCCCAGCCAACACTGTGTGTTCTTTGTAAACTCTGCTAAAAGCACACTCACATGCACACACACACACCCGTGTGTGTGTGTGTGTATTGAAGAGCACAAATGATTAACAAATATGGAAAAAGAAGATTACATAGAACCAAAATTCTATAAAATGTCCTATAGTTCTCTGAATTCAAATAACACCTGCCAAATACATTGAAAATCAAACACAATAATGTGGGGAATTCAGATGATATGATATGAAACTTTAATATATATTAGATCTGGAGCATCTATAAATAACACTATTTAGACATTTTCATCAAAAAAATCAGATAAAGCCCACATTTCCATACTTCATATCTGAAAACTAATTAATAACCATGAGTTTAATGTCCTGGGTATGTTAAAATTTTAAAAAAAGACATCGTATCATAACTGTCTTAATTTCCATATTTGTAGTCTTCATGGGTTTCTCTGCCTTTTATCTTCTTTGTTTTCCCCCCACATCATGCCTCCTGGTAATTTTGAGTCCCCTCCCCTCTTCCCCCTGGTCTACCTTCTTCCCCGGGCATCTTACCTTGAAGGTGCAGTTTGCTCTCCGTGCTTTGCAGAAGGACGGAACTCACAGAGTCCAGATTGTCATAGCTATTACAGCCCAGAGGCCCAGTGCGTGTCTCTGTGACCTAGAGTGGACATCAAAGGTGACAGGTGTGAGACAGGTGCGCTTGCTGGGCACAGAACCTGCAGATTTGGCCCCCAGCCAGCAAAGCCAGCAGAGAAAGTCTTCTAGCCTGAGCCAATGGCTGCTTCCTGAGCACTAGTCTGTGCCAAGGACCACGCTTGGTTGTCACCAAGCAGATGTTGGGATAGTGAGACAACTGAGCACTCATGTGTATGTGTATATGTGTGTGTGTGCAAACATGTGTGTGTGTGCACATCCCTGGCCTCACTTCACAAGGTGGTGTTAGGATTATATGAACTTACAGGTTGAAACACTGTAGTGTATTTTGAAACCTTGGCTTTGGAATTAGAAGAATCAGTGCTTAAATCCGGGTTGAACTTTTGATTTGCTGTGTGAGCTGAGGAAGTCACTTAGCTTCTCTAAACTTCTACAACACCCTGAACCTTTCCTTTCCAGAAAGGCTGTGAGATGAGACATGATGGGTGCACGTGCCAGATACATGGAAGATGTTTGACACCATACACCTTAGTACCAGAAGTCTCCATAAAATTGTTATGAATATATATGTGTTACTATTAGGTAAGAACAATAAAATTATCTCCATTTTCCAAGAGACATTCTAACAATGGGCACCATCAGTGCCATCACAGAATGAAACTCCCCAGTCCTGGGGCAATGTCTTTCTAAATCATTCTCTGAGAATATTTGAGGTGGTGGATAATAGGCACATCCAATACATAGCCTTGAAATAAGAATGGTTCGGAATGCAAAGAGGTTGCTTCATTCCCTTAGACATAACTTGCCAGTATTCACACATTTTCATAGGATTGTCTTGAGGTTTGCACCCGACTTTAAAGATACAGCAGCAAGTACTGGAGGGAATGATGATTTGGGAAGTGATCACAGGAATCTCCAATTGCCAGCTCTGAATTTTTCTTGCTCTGTTGTCTCAGATCAGTAACTTTCCCATTCAAGGTCTCAACTTCCTCACCTCCAAAATGCTAATAACACCATTGCCCACTTTACAACATAAAATATTATGTTTTTGAAGTGCGTTTAGGACTTTAGACATGGTATATAAGTGGCTGAATATGATGCTTTGTTTTTAAAATTATTATTTTTTTGTCTAAAACAATAACATATTAATAAATGAGGGTCAAAATTACTAATTCACTTTGCTAAAGACAAATTGGAAAAGGAAAGCCCTGGGTAAAACTCCCCCACCTGGCCCAGCTGCCAGTCTTAAACAAAGCTGACAGAGAGACCAGTCTAGTCAGCTGTGCCTGGAGGTAGTGTCAAAAAATAGCAAGAAAAATCCCAGTCCCAGATTGAGTGTAGACGACAGCATCACTGTAAGATGGGTTCTTGAGTGTCATCTGTGCAATTTCTCTGAGAAATTCCTCATAAGGAGGTTGGCTGCCCTTCCAGGAGCACAAAAGAGGATTATCTTCTGACAGAGCTTCAATATCTCAATTTCACATCCCATGGCAGGGGGGAAGAGGACCAGTGGGTGATAATGAAACCAGGTCTTTGCTTCACTCCGACTGTGATGGCTTCATAAAGGCCCATCTCTCTGGGTCTGGTTCCCTAACAACATAATCCCAATAATGTAGGTGATTCTTCTCGGATAAGCTGGGTCTTTGTTTGTGGATCTGATGCATTTCTCACCTTCTTATCTCCCTCCTCCCTTACATATTTTTCTCTTGACTTGGTTCATTTCTGACTTATCTGCCCAAGTCTCCCCCAGCACTGCTTCTACCCCATCCTTCTGCCCTGAAGACATCTGAAAGTCTTAATAAGAGACTAGGTCTGCATTTTATTCAGAAGAAATTGGACTGAAGCTTAAGAAGTAAAATGCAGGTATAATCTGATTTCAGAAAATTTGAGATGCAAAATATTTGACTTGAAACCCTCAGAAGAACTAATCCTTTATATCAAAAATGCTCCCCTCATTCTCTTTATAAAGGTAATCCCTGAATATATTGCAGCATATAAAGTGGATTCTGGATTGTTGTTTCCCCCCCCCCTAAGTATCTGTGTTCTAAGGCACTGAAGTGAAAAATCTACAGCTACTCTTTCCAATGTGGCTTTGATATAGACATTAAGTAAAATGAAATAAACTTGTAAACTTAACTCCTGAAGAGGAACATCTCAAGTGCCCCACACCCCAAATGACTCTGGCTATGGTGTAGAATTTCTGTCTTCAGGGATGGGCCTCTTGGACCTCGGTGGGAAGAGGAGAATACAGACTTGTTATTGTGAATAACACAGCCAGGCCGCTGTCTTCATATTGTCTGTGGCTGATTGTGTGCTCTAGTAGCAAAGCTGACTTGTGGCATCAGAAACCTTATGACCTGACAAGCCTAACATAAGACTGGCCCTTCACATAAAATATTTGCTGCCCGCTGGTTTGTTAAGTGACTCTCTAGCTGTGTACCCTGAGCAAAGTCTTTAACCTTTGGACCTCAGTTTTCCCATCTGTAAAATGGGAAAGGGGAGGATTCAAAAACAGACATTAAAAAAGGACTGAGCTAAGCATCAGTAATTGGGCTCTGTAAATTTTTGGGAAGCCTGAAAACCATTCACGCAGGTAAACTAAGAGGGAACATGAGGATGTTGACAATAGGGCCATGACCATAGCCAGGACTGTACCAGCAAATCAACACCTCGGGTGGCTTGAATGACAGTAATCATGATATTTCAGACACTTGACAGCTTTGCCCAGGGAGGTGGGGAGAGGGTGCTGTGACCCATGTGAGCCCCAGGCTTGTAACTACCCCTCGACTCTCAGAACACTGAGCGGCAGTGCTGTTATCTGAGGGCCTGGCAGCCACCACCACCCCAAGCCTACCTTGATTGCCCCAGTTGATATCTGGATCTCGTGGAGTCTCCTCATGGTGCCATCGCGGTCGACAAAGTAAGATGACGCGAGCTGGTGCAGAGCTTCGACGCTTTGAGTGGCGTTCCCTGACTTCCTGTCCAGGTGGCTTTTGTCCATGTACATGGTCAAGGCTTCCTCCCCTGCATGGAAGAGGAAGGAAGCTCAGGTAGCTTATCGAGCTTTGTGGTGGAAGAAGGTCTCCAGGGCCTGGATGCTGCAAACAGCCTCAGACCTACTGTCCAAACTCCCTCCTGCCACTGAAAATAGAGTTCAGTGAAGGAGAAACAGCCCAGAGGTGGCTGACAGTGCCGAGTGCATTTTGGACAAGGGTCATGGAAACACCCTTAGACTTCAAGTCCAGCTCCTACTAAACAGTGCTCAGTTTCACCAGCATCAACTCTAATGCCACTCACCTTCTCTCCTTGAGCCCAGGCTCTTCTGCAAAATGGTATTCCAGTCACATTCCTCTTTCTTCTTCCTTTGTTTCCTTATCATCTTCTAGATTCTCCTTGTTCTCCTCTCATCACTCTCCTCCCTCCCTCCCTCCCTGCCTCTCTTTCCCCTTCTGCTAACCCTCCTAGACAGACAGAAGGAGAGATATACATATGTTTGCATGTATGTAAGTACAGAGAATAGGTACATAGATACACAGACAGATAAGAGGCGACAGACAGATAATTAGGCAACAGATAGAGACAGACAGGAAAAGCTATGTGCCTAAATATAAAGGAAACTATACTGTGAGTTCTGCACTGTCTATATTAGTCACTGCTTTATCCTTCCTACAGAGCCCAGTGCTTGGCATACAGTAGGTAGTGAGTAGGTAGTGAATTCACCATTTCTTTTCATGCATTTAAAAAACACTTCTTAAAAACCACTACGTAGCAGGCACTGAGGTCCTGAGAATACAGTGGTGAAGTGACATTTGGGGAAGAAAAAGGATGACAAGAAATTTAGAGGGAGGGGGAGGAGGGAAAGGGAGAGAGGAGAGAGAGGGAGAGAGAGATTGATTTTTACTTCGTAAGATTTCCCGTAGAGATACATGCATGGATTACTAACAATGAGACTAACTAGCTTTGGTACCTTTTATTTTGGATAACAAGATGTTTTTCCAGACCTGCAGAAAGGAAGCTCCAGATATGTCTACTAAACAGGTCTCATTATTATACACCTGGTTTCATCCAGCAATTGTGAACATGGGGTTGTTTCTTGACTTCTCTGATCTGTAGCTTATTTATTAACAAATTGGGGAAGGAATAGCACCAATTCCATAGAGTTATTAAGAAAATAATCAAAACATGTAACGTCCTTGTGTCAGTGTCTGGTTTACTGTGGCAACCACAGATGGTTAGGAGCAGCGGTGAGAGGTCGTCTCTGTGACTAGATGGCCTGCCCTTGAGCCTGCTGTATGGGCAAAGTACTAACCTTCTCCATGTCTCAGTTTCTTCACGTGTAAAACTGGGGATACTAACTATACTTACCTCATCAGGCGGGCATAGGATTAAATGAGTTAATTACATGAAGTACCTGAACCTTGCCTGGCACACAGTAACTACCATTATCCGATCATGTAAAATAGCGTCAGTTGTGTGAGTTTTATTCTTCCACCTAATCAATCCACTGTAAGAGGGTATTCAGAGAACAAACACTATTATGCCTTCTGAGGACAAAAGTCTGATATCTAAGACAAGTGAAATTTCTTTAGAGTGCTGAGGACTTACTGAGTTGAAGGGAAGAACCAATTTTCTTTCCAAGGGACAGGGGTTACCTTAGGAAGTGGGCCCAGTCCTCACCCTCAGGTCAGTTCCTCTGCCTCAGATCCCTCCAGGACTGTTCTGGGACACAGACCATTGCCCCTCCATCTTCTCCTCCAGCCTCCAGTTTGCTGTTTAGCCCTTTCCCCCTCCATGTTTCAACAAACCACTTCTTCGGCCTCCATCTCTCATTTTTGTCAATTGTCCTTCCAGGCTTTCCTCAGACTCCTTTTCCTTCTGCTTGGAATGCCATTCTAGCTCTCCCTCCCAGATGCCTGACTGCTGAAATCCTACCCAGCGTTCTCAATTCAAGTGGTCTCAATTCAAGTGTCACTTTCTCTTACTCTCCCCTCTCTGCCCTTGAGCTGGCATCCTCTGCACGCTCCAGACCCTTGCTAGTGAGCTTGCCCCAAACACACCCTCAACTCAAAGGCATTTCATCACCTTTCCCCTATCATTCTCCCACTCATCCATTCAGCTCAGCACCCACTGAGCATTTTATCTATGCTGAGTACTTGGCAGACACCAGAGTGACATATGGAAGGGACGCTGTCCCCACTGTAGAGTCACAGAGTGGTGACACAGACGCCTTCCTACAGGGAAGCCACTGGCCACGTGTGTGTCTTCTGGGCATTTGAAATGTCGCTTGTCCAAATCGAGATGCGCTGTAGGTATAGACTATATGGCAGGTTTCCTCTATCTGGGAAATGTTAAAAAATGTAAAATAGCTCATGAGTTGCTTATTTTATTGATCACATATCGAAATAATATTTTGGCCATATTATGTTAAATAGAATATAGTTACACTGATTCTCCCATTTTTCTTAATGCTTATGAGAAAATTTGAAGTGACATATCTAACTCATCCTTGTGGCTCATGTTATACTTGTATTGGTCAATGGTGGTCTCTGGAGACACAGACATCAGGGGTCATATACTGGATGAAGAGCCATGGTAGAGAGGGTAGAATGTAGGCAGGAAAATGGTGCCTGCAACCCTGTGATAATGTGGGACACGAGGCCCTGGTGAGATCAAGTCTCACCAGCCACACTCTTGACCTCACTGTAGATATTCTCTATCCCACACAAATATCTCCTATTTTCTCTCATCGTTGGGACTCTGTTTTTCTGTTTTTCTCCTGACTTCTACTTGTCCCTCAGGTCTCACCTAAGACAACACCTCCTCTAGGAAGCCTCCCCTGATTTCCTACTCTTAAACTAGATTAAGAATTTCATGTCTTCCCAGTCCCGTTTATTTCTCCAACGCATTACCTATCACATTTCCTACTGATAGATTATATAGCTGTTTGCTTCACTAGAGGAGAAACTATGTAAAATCAGAGGCTACATAGGGTCTTTCATCATTTCGGTGTTTTTGCTTAGCATAATACAAGCATGTGTCACGTGCTTGGCAAATGACCAAGAGATTTGTGGGTGAAAGAATAAATGTGGAAGTTACCCAACTCTACAGTGTCTATCGATTGACATAGCTGCCTTAACTAAGACTGAATTTCCCCCATAGGAAGTTTCATCATTAAAATTAATCTCTGGGTCCCACATGCCTAGATTTGAGTTGAATTCAGATTAAAACACTCCGGTGTACTTTCCCATGAAACCTTCACTAGTTATGCAGGAGGACATGCTAGTCCATCCTTTGCATTTAACAGTGACCTGAATAAGTCTGAAATAAAAAATGACTATATATACTAGATTTTGGATTCTAGGGATGTAGATGGCCTGGGAAAGCAAGCATCTATCTGATTCTTCTTTGTAATGTTCCTGATGCTTCTCCAAGGTCAGATGAAGAGCAGATGTTCAGTTGTCATTTCATGGATGGAGGATGGATGGATGGACAGAAGGATAGATAGATGATTGAATGGATAGATGAACAGATAAGTGGAGAGGCAGATGAGTAAATAAGTGAAAATGCTAGAAATTAGGATCAAGAGGCAGAGGAAATGGATATTCCAAGTGTCAGCTCAAACTCCACAAGGGCCCTGAGAAAGAGAAGGTGAAATAAGCCCAGCTCCCTATGGATTGAGAACTGGCAGAAGCAAACTTTAGATCAAAAGGGGTTAATGGGCTTCTTGCTGTACTATTAAGACTTAATTTCTTGTTTATTAAGAGAATGTTCTGTTTAGAGTTGCTTTCCCATTTGGGCATTCCTGCAAATTGCCTCTTCACCCCACGTAGACCTTCTCTCAGTCGCTCTGTCCTCCAGGGGACTTTGCCTCACTCTCTGCAGCAGTTTCCTCAGAGAGGACCAAAGTGAGATTCAGACTCGCAGATGAGGTGCGAGCTGACAGGTTCACCTTCGGAGTCAACAGAGGATACTGCCTCCTAATGGGGGTGGGGATGACTGGACTTTAAACCTCTGAAACATCCCTCATCCTTTCCTTTTAAGCCCCTGGGACTTTATTCCTGGACTTCCTCTTAGCCAAAGGGAGATGTCCCATAGTGCAAGGTGGGAATTATGAATACATATACAAATATTTAAATATTTACACAAATACAGCAACATGAGTCCTCATGCATAGGAAGACATTCATGCACCTTGTGAATATCAGCATGAAGTGCAAGCTCACATATACGTATGTGCAGGCTGCATCCCTATCTGTGGGTCCTGTGTATAGGCATGTGTGCACTGCTTTTGTGTGTATGTCCACATATAGGTTAACTTAATTCCAAGCACTAGTAGGCGTCTGTGCACACATGCATGCACTCCCATACACACATGAGAGTTTAACATCACTTAGAATCACAGCCTCCAAGGTGTTTCATTTGATCCAAAGTAAGATCTTCAGAGGACCTAGGGAAAATAGTTGTCCCTCTACTCCCTGTGCCATTCCAGGTCCCAAAATTTTTCCTTCAATATCCTTCAAAGAAAATTCTCATATTAAGAATTTTAAGTTTAACCAATTTCAACAAAAATGTGAGATTTCATGAATATGTCTTGGATGTCAGCCCTATTACTGGTTCCAATTCCTCTTTTGCCATAGACCTCAATCCTTTCCACCTTCTTCTCGCTTAGGAGCCAAACAAATGCTTCTAATTGTACTACATGTGACATTTTAAGGATCATCTTTTGTTGTTTGAGTATGCCCTTAGGAGCTCACCTGACACCTCAAACTGCTTATCAAAGTATGTCTTCTAAATGAACATGGTGTTCTCCTTAGGAAAAATTATAGTGAATAAAATTTTCACCTCCCTATATTTAGACAGGAAAACTAATATCCCGACAAAAGAGTAAATTTCTCAATGCCTCCATCTATTAAGTGGAAGTTATGGGCTTTTATCTCAAGCCCTTCAGTTCCTTAGCCCCACTAAATGAGAGCATGAATAGTAATAATAATAATAATAATAATAATAATAGTAAGAAGAAGAATGACAATAGCAGCAAAATAATTAGATAGATGACAAATGTATTAAGCTGTCTTATGCATCATTTTATTTGATCTTTGCAATATGCATGAGAGAAGAACTATTATTATTTCTATTTCTAAAAGAGGAAACTAAGGCTTAGAGGATTGAGTAACTTGCCAAGGTGACATGAAATTGGTGAGTGTCAGGAGTTTGGATTAGAACTACACCTATCAAACCCCAGTGTGTGCGTCCTTCATTTAATACAAGTTAACACCTCCCTTCTCTCCCATTGCACAAAGATGCTCCTAAGAAATATTTTTCTATGAATGAATGAATGAAATGATGAGGTAAGAAATACCTTGTACAGTGCTGGTGCATTGTGTTTAATCAACAGTAAATCTTATGGCTGGTTCTCGTTAGTATAGTGGTGATTACCTGTGCCTGTCAACAGTAAATCTTTCCCCCTCATCCTCTCCACTCCTCAACAGTGAGGATTGAGGGAACATTTAGGGTTTGCTGTCCAACACTGGAACACAACCCAAAGCTTTGCATATTTTAAAATGTTGTGCTATAAAAACAGGACAGGAACAAGGCTCTGTGAATAATTCACCACCTTGCCTTGGAGAAATTAAAAATATATTTCACTGCAAAAGAGAGGTCTTTGCTATTTGGGATTTCCCAGGACTCAGACAAAATACAGTTTCAAATAGAAGAACTGATTTGGCCACAATGATTTTTTTTTTTTTTCCAATTGAAATGGGAGGTGGAAGAAGTTCAAAGGAAAGGGTAAGGGTTAATGTCACACTCAACACAGAAGTGGTTTCACTTCACTTTACAATAGAATAGAATTTATGCTAATGATTTGCATTCAAAGTCCTATTTAACTTTATATCTGACTAGCAACAAGTGAGAACTGAGAATGGGTTGGTTGTTTGCTCCAGTGGGTGGGTGTGTGAGTTAGTAAGAAGTGACTGATGTATGGTCCAAAAATGCAGACATGGACAGAAAACCCAAAGTTAAAAATAGTTTTGTCACTTACTAGCTATACCTTTTCTGAGTTTAAGCTTTCTGAGCTATAAAATGAGATCCTATCATGTAATTTGCAGTTTTTGAGGACAAAAGACGATGGACAAAGACTGTTATGGGCAAATACTCTTACAGTAATATTATAAGAATAAATGAATTTATCCAACCAATCACTTCACCCATATTCCCCACATTATCAAATGACTAATTTGGCCTTCTTCAGAATGTGTGCAGTGTGAGCAACCTGGAACTCTGGCTACCTTCCTCCTGCCAGGCCACTTCTGCCAAGCTACCGTCCCCATGAAGTCTGCACTAATCATTCCAACACATGGTGCTTACCCTCCTCTTCATGATATTGACCATTATAATTATACACCATCCATTATACATGTCCCAGCTGGCATGGACATACCTAAGTCCAACTGAGCAGCTCTCTGAGCTGGTCACTCAGGGCTCTACCACCAGAGGGGCTTTTGCAAAATTCAGTGGACCCAGTCATTGTGCTAACAAACTGACACCCAGGGGACTGTAGCTCATGATATAAAATGGTCACTGCAGGCAATTAACATCTAAATGCACCCGGCTCTTCCATTTCCCAATTTTTTTGCATTTCTTTCCTCCCTTTATCCTCTTTTCTTATCCTTACTCCCTTTAAGATGTATTGCACTTAATGGGAAGGGATGAACAAGGCTGAACAGCGTGAAACAACTAGTCTGCTTCCTCAATAACCTACCCCAAGCTCAAGTAAGAAACAGATGATGATACTCCATTTGCAAAATAATAACCTCCAGCTAGCTATCAGTCCCTAAAGTAGACTTAAATAAACAAAGGCAATTTGCTAAACCACATCTGAAATTTAATTATCTCCCTAGATTAGACTATATTCTAAATGAACTAATATGTTCATCAGATTAAGGATTCTCAACGAACTGCACTAATTCCAAGGTGAAACCATATTTCCACAAAAATCAGTAAACTCTGGAGTTAGACTGACCCATAGAACAAAATTGCCTGCTCTGATATTTGGCTTAGTGTTTGGCAATCTGTGCTGTGGAATGATGTACAATGGCAGAGATGCAAAAGGTTTTTATCCCACCCTCTCCTCATCCCAGACCCAAAGTCATGACAAGACTTAGGCCCAGCAGTGCTGACCTACCTCCCAAGGTAGCAGAGATGAGGAGGTGGGTGCCGTACTTTTTGATGATGGTATCGATGAACTGCTGAGTGGTGGGTCTCCTGCCAAGCAGACGGATGCTCCTTTGAAACTCTGGCATGAGGGGCACTGGATGACGGACCAAGTCTCTCCTCTCGATGGCTGTGTTCCTCACCTTCCAACGGGCAAACTCCCTGGGCAGGAGATATGAGTGACAGTGCTCAACTTAACACCCGTCCCCAAGACAAAGTTGACGGAACCATCCCATCCAGACATATCTAGGTGAGAGAGTGACTATAGTTATTTTTAATATTTGTCAAGTGATAGTCAGAACTGGGCCTCTCAATGCTGACAGCCAACAGATATTTGTGGAGCACTATTCTCATGCCCCAGATACTGTGGTAAACCAGCTAGACACAGTCATCTTCTCATGTTACTTGCAAAGCATCAGGGATACAAAAATAAGAAATAATATTTAGTAGGTTATGGGTTGAGAGACTGAGGAAAAAGTGTGATAAATTGAGATAATGATGATGATAAAGGTTTTATGTTATGTTCAAGTCTACAAGAACATCATGTCCAATGTAATAGGGATTTATTACTCATTTCTGAGACCTATCACAAGACCTTTTTCCCATTATCATTGCTGTCTGGTTGCTTATCCATTTCTCTTACTAGATTGTGAATAATGCCACAGAGATAGAATTTTCTTAGGTAGATGGTAAATGTTACAGGATTCATAAAATTCTAGCTAGGTAGGCAAATAAACAAATTAATTAAAGGAAGGAAGGAAGGAGGAAGGCTTTGGATAAGACCTAAGACACAAGGCAACTTGAAATCTATTGTAAGAGAATTTAAAAATCAAATAATTAGCCCAGAACTCAGTTTAATTAAAAAAAAATTAACATGTACTGATTGGGAAGCTACTGTTTTGATGAAATTAAACTACGTTCATATGACTGTGGGTGTGTATTGGGGGAGGTGGGATTGCCATTCTTCCCTTTAGGTGTTAGAATAGATCAAGACCAAAGAACACTGAACTTGGGAATGCAACTCAAGATCTCACTCTACCCCTTGCAAAGTATGTGATGCTGCCTTGGCCAGAGCATGTGACTCCACCTACAATCCCTTATCTATAAAATCCAATTAATATCATCTATTTCCTATTCCTGGTGCACAGACTGCATGAAACATGAGGGGTGAAAACACCTTTGGAAATTGCCAGGTATTAATCCAATGTGAAATATAGTTGTATAACTCTATTTCCTCACAAATTCTGGACAAGCAAATCATTAAAGTTTCATGAATGATGAACATGGAACATGCAAAATGGATGCAAGCAAAATTTTAAAGGCTCTTGGTTTGGGTTACTTTTTATTTAATAATGACCTATGTCCCTACCAAAGATTAAGCTCCCCTTAGAACAACCAGCTCTTTGACCTGCCTGAATTATAAGATTCGGGTCCCTGGAGAAAAAACAGACTAGCCAAGAGGACTGTAGGTCTGTCTGGATAAATGTTGGGAATGAGAGTTCAATGAAAAGGTCTCTCTCTCCTGCCAGAAGATGGGAGAGACAAATGAAACAAGGGGCACAGAGCAAGAATAAGCAGAACAGGGTGGGAATCAGGCCGGAATATGCCTAGTAATTCAGTGGTACAGTCTGACCCCTGATGCAGAGACAGCAGAGTCTGAAAAAAAAAAACAACAAAAAAACACTTTTGGAATGGAGGCTGGTTCCAAGCCTCAGAGCTTATTATGGTCTATGTTTTCTTTTTTTTTTTTTTTTTTTTTTAAAGATTTATTTATTTATTTATGCAAGCACTGGGTACAGTCAGAAGCGCGGGAGGGTGAGAGAATTCACCAGAGCCAGAGCGGGGAGCAGAGCAGGCAGAAGGACCGAAGTACACTGCTGAGGGGAGCAGCGGGCGGCAGGAGAGGTCTGCGCGCCATGCGGGACCCTCCTCTGGTGGCCGGGGAGCAGCCGGGGATCGAACCGGTGCCGCAGAGGCTGCAGGCAGCTTCACAACCCAGCGCTCAACCGCTGCGCCACCGGGGAGGCCCTTCTTTGTGTTTTCTTAAGAAATCTCTGTCTATAACTGATAATAGTTGAAATTTTAAGAAAAGTACTATGCACACTGTAGGTCAATCAGTTGTAGTTAATAAACCTTTGCAGGTACCTACTACGTGAAAAGTAAGATGTCTAGAGGAGGGGGACAGATACCTCACAGTCTTATGTATTTAAGAAGCTCACAGTCCGGCAGGAAAGTCAAGACATTTCCAGTCTATTGTAAATAAGAGATTATAGGATGCAAAAGAAGGAGCACAGTCTTCTCAGGCCTCCAAGGAATGCTTCACAAAGGAGGTCATGTCTGGACTATCGTTTTTACATTTGCATGGGATTTAGATGAATGGAAAAGTGGTTCAAATAATAAAAGATATTATGCACATGGAGGAAAAAGCATGAGCAGTGTGAATGAGAGTGGGGAATATATAATACATCATGGGAAAACCTGAAAGGGGGGAGGGGTTCAGAGAAAGGAACGTAAGAGCAGACAAGAAGTGGCAAATGGGGTGACCAGATATGGGGAGAGGGTAGAGCCAGCAAAGGAGGATTTTTATGGGTAGTGTAGCTAACATTGGGCAATATTCTCAATGATCCCACCACCAGGTGTTCACATCTGTATAATTCCTTCCTTTGAGTATGGAACCCAGTGACTTACTTCTAATGAGTAGAATGTGACAGTGGTGAATGTTATTTCCATGATTAGGTTACAAAATGTTGTGACTTTTGTCTCTCTCTCTCTCTCTCTCTCTCTCTCTCTCTCTCTCTCTCTCTCACACACACACACACACACACACACACACACATCTTTTTTTCTTTTGGTCTCCATCTCTTCTCTTGCTGCCATGTTGTAAGATGCTCTCTGGAGAGATTCACATGGTGAGAAACTCAGAGTAGCTTCTGGTCAGTTGTTTCTGAGGAACTGAGGCCTCACAAGGTCCTTAATAGTAAGGGTAACCATGTATATGACTGTTTTCAGCTGAGACTTGAAATGACTATAGCATGAGAAGAACAAGGATATCCAGCTAAGACACATCTAGATTCCTGACCCACAGAAACTGTGAGATAATAAATATCATTGTATTAAACCATTAAATATGTGCCAATGTGTTACTCAGCTTTAAATGACCAATAAAAGGCAATGGTAATCATTAAATACTTCTGAGAAAAAAAGTCTTATCAGTTTATACCTGGAATTTATAAAACTACAAATACCTCCAATTACAAAATTGCATATAGGTATATTAACAATTACTTCAGTATAACCCACATATAGATCTGTATCTCCATATATCTCTATATCTATCAACTATAGGTAGTAAAACCTGAGTTACTATTCACTTGACTATATCTATGTTCCTCAAAACGAATGTGCATTTATAAACAGAGAGGTTAACTAACATACAAAATTGCACACAGCTATGTAGAGAGCTGGGAGTAGAAAACTCATATCCTGGTACTCCAATCACTCTTTCTCTCTCTTTTTTAAGATTTATTTATTTATACGAGCACTGGGTACAGTCAGAAGCACGGGAACGTGAGAGAATTCACCAGAGCCAGAGCTGGGAACAAAACAGACAGACTGATAAACTACACTGCTGAGGGGAGCAGTGGGCGCTGCAGCAGAGGACTGTGCGTCATGTGGAACCCTCTCCCAGCAGCCGGGGATTAAACCGGTGCTGCAGAGGCTGCGGGCAGCTTCGCAGCCCAGTGCTCAACTGCTGTGCCACCAGGGGAGGCCCTCAAATCACTCTTTCAATGCAGATATGGAGAAAAATAATATAAAAGCCATAGTAGAACAATGATTGATACAACAATTAATGCCATCCCACCACCAAATCATGAGCCTACGACTCAATTCCTTTAATTTAATCAATCTACACAGTTTTCCTTTAATTTACTCAATCTGCACACTTACTGTGAATACACCAAGGGTTTATTTGTTACATCCTTGGAAAAAACTCAGGAGGAAGGTGGTGCTGGGTTTGTAGTTCCTCACCCAATCACAGAATGGATGGAAGGCATAAGGCAGAGGAAATATGTGTCCTACTGGGACACTGTCAGGCCCTTGGGTGGAGCTCCACTAATGGGAGATACTCTTGCTAAAATCTGACTCTGCCTGAACTGTCTGTTCAGCACCATGGACAGAGTTCTGAATTCTAGGGAATATTTACATTGTGGGGCGGGGCGAGGGAAAGCGCATGCTTAATTGGTTCAACCACTATGGAAAACTGTGTGAATTTTCCTCAAATTACTAAAAATGTATCTACCATATGACCCAGTGATTCTACTCTTAGGAATCTATCCAAAGGACACAGTGAAAATATTAATTCTAAGGGAAATTTGCACTCCTATGTTTATTGCAGCACTACTTACAATAGATAAGATATGGAAACAACCCAAAAGCCCACAGATGACTGGATCAAGAAGATGTGGTACATATACACAATGGAACGCTATTCAGCAATCAAAAAAGATAAACTTATGCCATTTTCAGCAACATGGATGAAACTAGAAGAGATTGTGCCCAGTGAAATAAGTCAGAAGGAAAAAGAAAAATATCAGATGGTTTCACTTATAGGAAGAATATAGGGAAACCTAACAAAGGGCCAAAAAAAAAGAGACAGAGAAAGAGAGAGGGCCTTCCTAGAGGTGCAAGGGGTTAAACACCGCACTATGAAGCAATCCACAGCCTCTGCAGCACGAGTTTGATCCCTGGCCAGCCAGGGAACAACCCACATGGCTAGGCAGATCTCTCCTGTCTTACCCGCTGCTCCCCTCAGCAGTGTATTTCAGTGCATTTGCCTTTTCTGCTCCCCACTCTGTCTCTGGTGAATCCTCTCACCCCCTGCACCTCTGGCCTGTACCCCAGCTCTTTTATGCATAAATAAATAAATCTTTTAAAAAAGAGAGAGAGAAAACTTGCAGTGAAACTATAGATCTGAGGCATACAGCAGGGATGGGGGTGGGAGATGAGTTAAAATAGGGAAGGGAAGAAAAAAAGGGACTATGGTGATGGTTCACAGGTGATGCGGTGGTGGGAGATTTATGGGCACTACACCTGAGCAACAATGTAAGAAAATTTTAAAAGTTTAATAAAAAAAGTTTAAAAAAGTTTAAACCCGGGCATCC